TCTTCTTTTCTTGTCTTTTTAGTGATCTCTTCCTTTCTTCATGGATAATGTTCTTGATATCCTCCTACAGTTCTTCTGGTTTTTGGTTGTTGGTGTTCAATGCATCAAATCTATTCTTTAGAAGATCCCTAAATTTAGGAGAGATATATTCAAGATCATGTTTTTGGCTCTCTTGGACTTGTTTTAATTGTCTTTAACTTCAAGTTGAACTTGCATATGAGCAGTCGATGGTCTGTTTCACAATCAGCTCCTGGCCTGGTTTTGGCTGAAGATACTGAGATTCTCCACCGCCTCTTGCCACAGATGTAGTCAATGTGATTCCTGTGTGTTCCATCTGGTGATGTCCATGTGTTGAGCCACCATTTGTGTTGTTGAAAGAAGGTGTTGCAATGAACAAGTCATTGGTCTTGCAAAATTTTACCATGCGAGTTCCAGCATTATTTCTGTCGCCAAGGCCAAATTTTCCAACCACCAGTAACACTTCTCTGTTTCCAACTTCTGCATTCTGGTCACCAGTGATAATTAACACATCCTGATTGCATGTTTTGTCAGTTTCAAACTGCAGAAGTTGATAAAATTCCTCAATTTCCTCATCTTTGGCTTTGGTGGTTCATGCATAAATTTGAATAATAGTCATATTAACGGACTTCCTCATAGGTGTGTGGATATTATCCTATCACTGACAGCATTGTACTTCAGGACAGATCTTAAAACATCCTTTGTGATGATGAATGTCATGCTATTCCTCTTCACACTGTCATTCCCAGTATAGTAGATCACATTGTTGTCTGATTCAAAATGGCCAAAACCAGTCCATTTCAGCTCACTAATGCCAAGGATATCAATCTTTATGCATTACACTTCATTTTTGACAACTTCCAATTTCCCTAGATTCATACTTGTTCCATGTTCCGATGATTATTGGATGTCTGCAGCTGTTCCTCTTCAATTTGAGTGGTGCCACATCAGGAAATGGAGCTCTTGAAACCTTTACCTTATCCATAGGACTAAGGCTGGGTTTACTCAGATGATGCAGCTCCTTCCCAGTCCTATTTTGAGAGTCTTCTAACCTAACCGGACTATTCATAAAGTTGCATGGTAATGTATCAAACAGTGTTTCTTTGCTATTCATAAGGTTTTCCCTGGCCAATTCTTTGAGAAATGGACTGCTTCTTCCTTCTTCCTAGTCTGTCTCGATGTGTAAGCTGGGCTGATACCTGTGCACCATGTGCATCCCTCTGGGTTTGAAACACTCGTGGCTCAGCCTCAAAACTCACGTTAACACGTCACCATGGTAAAACACACCAACAGACAAGTTTGTCTCCCTGTTGCAAACCTCTTATACCACCCTTACCTGGGTCCCTGTGGCTGACTCCTCCTCTGTCCGGATTCCTGGGCCTTTTAATCCCCTTTCTCCCTCTCTCCCATCCTGCTGCTTTGGGCATGCCTGGGTTCTCTCTCCTCACCTGGACCCCTATGGCTATCTGCTCCTCTATCTAGGTTCCTGGCTTTTTATCCCCTTTCTCCCACTCTCCCACCCTGCTGTTTTGGGCATGCCTGAGTTCCCTCTCCTCACCTGGATCCCTGTGGCTGACTGCTCCTCTGTCTGGGTTCCTGGCACATATATATATATATGTATATTTATTTTCCATTTTACCTATAATAAAAAGGAGCTCTGGTGGTATAGTGTCTAAGGCATTTGACTGCTAACCAGAAAGCTGGCAGTTCAAATCCACCAGCCACTCACTCCTCTAAAGGAAGATTGGGTAATCTACTTCTGTAGAGATACTGCCTCAGAAACACAGAGAGGAGTTGCTATGAGTCACATTTGACTCAATGACAGTGAGGTTTTTTTTTTAATATTCTCATGGATATGAGATATTAAAAAGTGTGCTTATTTTTAAAGGTGCAAGGGGGTATCAAATATGAATATGCTACAAGTATAATAAATTTCTCAGTAAAGTCTTTTTAAAGGCATTTTTCAGTTTGAACTTTTAATAACTGAGTTTTATTTATTAATTTTTTATTAATTTTTGGAACAAATGAATATTATACATAGATAGCAAATAAGTATTCTTTGTCCAAGATCCTGTTTCAATCAAAATAAAACTTCTGTACTTGGAAAATTAAACCTTGAAACAAGGTAAGCAAATGGAAGACCTTATAAGCTTCGAGGATAAAACTCTGTGTATATAACAGTACAGATTACTTGAATGTGTTGGTTTTTTATTAGTTTACACACTGGGTTTAATACTCATACCTATATTTTTTCATTCAGGAAAATTAGAATTTTGAAAGTATCAGTCAACTATCTAACACTCCAACTATTGTAAAACATTTATTATATAGGTACTGTATCTTGGCTATTTCTATTATCCTAGTGGCATTTTATATATTTGGTAGATTTCCACCTTGATAATGCTGCACTTTATTATTTCTTTCCATTTCATTTAGGGCTCAGTTGATCAAAGAAAAAGATGACATAGATCATTATCTGGAGGTGAATTTCAAAGGATTGTCAAAAGAAGAGGTTGCTGCGTAAGTATAACCTTTTAAAGGTACTTTAATATAAAGTTTGTTTCTTTTGTCTTGATTCTTTATTGAAATTTCAATTTTCCTGTGGAGTAGACTTTCTCTGGAATGAGGCATTTAAAAATTAAAACTCATATAAAATAGTGATAAGTCATATCTATTGATCTTACACATATCAAAGTCTTTAATTTTATGGCTTTCAAAATTCTCATATTTACCAAGATATCATACTATCACATTTGCAATATTTTACTTAAGTCTGTGCCATTAATTGCTTATTAACCTCCACTTTAAGGTATGTTGCCTCCATCAGGGAGAAAACCTTTAAGAGAAAGATTCATACCACTATCATTTTTCCTAGTCATTAAAAAAAAAAAAAAAAAAAAAAAAACCTCTTATGTATCTTTTTCCCCTCACGGAACACACAAAAAGAATCCATCATTCACAGTTGATTGCCTAATTTAAAGATAATTCTTAATTGTCTAGATTTACTTATTTAAACAAACAATGCAAACTTCGCTATTTTTTTACTGGCTAAGAGCCTGATTTATGTAATGAATAAAAACAGTATAAAAATCCATGTCAATTAGTGAGAAATAAACAGACACCTAGGATTTACTTTTATTTTTCTTTTTAAATCATTTCAACCATTTTAAGGTGTTCATTTCAGTAACGTTATTTACATTCCCTATGTTGTAATTAGGAGCTCTGATGGCTCTGTGGTTAAGGCATTTGGCTGCTAACCAAAAGGTTGATGGTTCGAACCCACCAGCCACTCCCAGGAGAAAGATAAGGCATTCTGCTTCTATAAAGATTAAACCCTTGGAAACCCTATGGAGCAGTTCTGCTCTGTCTTATAGGTTAACTATGAGTCAGAATCAACTCACTGTTCATGGGTTTATCTTGTGGGTTTCACATTTCTTACTTACGGGCTTAGGGACTTTGATATCATCAGATCTTCAGAAGTAAGCATTGAAAACCAGAAATCTTACAAATGCATATGTGTTTTATTGCATTCATTAAATGATTCCATTAAAATATTTCATGCAACAAAATCTTTAAAAAGATTCTGTCTGTGCACATTGTCTAATGTCATGGGGATCCACTGCTCTTGATGATATTTTTGATATGGATTTCATATGTTCCAAAATTTTAATCTCTTCATATATTTCAAGGAGCTCTGATGGCATAATGCCTAAGGAATTTGGCTGCTAACCAGAAAGCTGGTGGTTCAAACCCATCAGCCACTCCATGGAAGGAAGACTAAGCAATCTACTTCCATAAAGATTACCTCCTCAGAAACCCAAAGGGGGTCACTATGAGTTGGAATTGACTAGATGGCAGTGAGTTTTTTTTTTTTTTTAATTCATGTATTTTATTCAATATTATCTTTGTAAAATTATGCAAAACATGGTAAAAAAGCAAACAGTTCATTCTATAAATAGTTGCTTTATTTTGAGTGACAAATTCTTACAGTAATTGTAATAATGTAGTTCCTCAGAGCTCTATAAGCTGTATTGTGTCTGGAATTTTGGTTAAATGCCATTATGATAACTTACTATGGAAACTTGTTGGATAAAATTAATGGTTAATATTGTATGAAGGTATTGTTGCTCTTAAGAGAAAAATATATATGAACAATATTTACATTCTGATTTAAATATAACAACATCCAAATGCTTTAATTGGCTTAAGAAGTAGAAATTAAGCTTATGCTACACATAACTTAGCAAAGTAGAAATATGTATACTGAAAACATGCTGACACCTAAGTTTTTGGTCTGAATGAAGAAAAACGTTATCGAATGCAATTAAAAATAAGTTGTCATGGTGTAGTGACATTTATTTTTTTCACTAAGGATATTACCAAATTGATTTCAAAGGCATTATTATGCTACAGAAAACAGTAGTATATGATAATTCTCAATCTGTATTATTGCATTCTCCTTTAAGCTCTGCACTTGAATACTTTCTTAGACTGAAGCCCTTTCTCTAGGATAGTAGATGTAAAACATTAGTATGAAGATAGCTTGTACTCAGCTTCTATTAAGCTTTTGATTGATATGCCTTCTAGACCTCACCCATGACAAACTAATTGGATAGCATATAAAGGAGAAAATTGATGAATGATTTTAGTATCTCCCAGCAATGCCCAGCAGGTGCCTTGAAGAATATACATATTCTGTTAGCCAAGGAAATTGGTACATAAAACTTTTTATTAGCATTCAATTCTAAAAAGATAAATTGGTCAACAAGCATTCATTAAGTACCCGCTTTATATCTTATACTAGTTTTTTCACAGTGGGTGAGAGAATGATATTTTATTGTAAAATACTTGGCCCCATCCTGGAACCTTAACATCTATTTGAGACAATAAGACCCATGAGCAGGAAGCAAACATGAAATGAATAAGTGTCAATTGTACTGTGAGGTATAGCCTGGAGGTCTACAGGAAGTCAGGGAACAGTAGGATAGTAGGAAGATAGATATGGAATTTAGCTCCCTTTCTGATAGCATTATAAAATAATCAAACTGGTAAATCACAGATCTTCAGTGTACAAAGAAGTGATTGAGAGAATCTGAAGAATCAAATTTTCTATCAGGCAAAAGCATTATCTAAGATGTATCCTGAAATCTCTCTGTCCACTGCCTTATACTTCTTCTCTAAGGTGGTAATAAATATATTTATATATACACAAACATTTTTCAAACTCATCATTGCACTACAGAAAACAGTTTGTTGTTGTTGTTGTTGTTTGCCGTTGAGTCGGACCCGACTCATAGTGACCCCTCCTTGGGTTTCTGAGGCAGTACCATTACGGAAGTAGATTGCCCCATCTTACTTAACAGTAGTGTATGATAATTCTCAGTTTTTACTATTGCATTCTCCTTAAACCTTCTTGCACTTTAATATTTAGTACTATACAATTGATGTACACTAGCTCTGATATTCCTTAGTATGTAGTGCTCTTTGTCAAAATAATTCCTCATCATCTACCTCAAAATATACCAACCTACATACATGAACATTCACAGTCTGTGACTTTCCTACTGTTGCAGTGGTTGGAGAGTTCCTGTTCTTGTGTAAGGATAATGCCTCTACTTGTGTTCTCAAAACAGTTCCCTCTTATCTCCTCAAAGACTTTCTCCTGCAAATTTTCCTCGTACATCATCTATTCTCCTTTTCCAATAGGTCAATCTCACTTGCACTCATATCTACTAGTATTTCCTTTGATTTTATATTCTCCTCCAAGTTCTACACTATTTTTTTCCTATGCTTCATAGCAAACAGGATCACTGTCTCAATACTGTCACATCCTTGCTTTCCTCAATTGACTCTAAGTAGGTTTCCATCCCCACCACTCATTAAAATCGTTCTGCTTAGGGTCACCAATAACCTCCATTTTCACCACATTTAATGGTCATGTTTGTGTCCTCATTTTGCTTGATGTCTCAATAGCATTTTGACTATCTCCTTAAACCCTTAAACATGGTGTATCTGTAGGGTCCACAAATGCCACATTCTATGGTTTTCCTCAAAATTTTTAATGCATAGTAGATGCTTTAGTCACTTTTATTGGCTGACTTTCTCTTTGTCTGGCTCTCTCTTTTTAACTTTTCAGTAGTGAAGTGCCCTAGGTCTGAGTCCTGGGCCCTCTACTCTAACTACCTGAATCCTGTCTTACAGCCTTAAAAATTAGCAATAAGCCAAAGACTGCCAACTTTGTAACTCATTATCAGCCACTTCTCAGAAGGAAGGTTGGGGAGTCTACTTCCATAGTGATACTGCCTTGAAAACCCAAGGAGGGGTTGCTAGGAGTCAGATACGACTCGACGGCAGTGAGTTAGTGAGTTTTATGCTACCCAAAATAATTTTCGTTCCTTACTGTTGCTTTCTCCTTAAGCCTTCCTGCACTTGAATGCTTTCTTAGGCCTAAAGGCACTTAGACCCAGCTGTAACCTCTCCACTGAGCTCCAAACTTTTACATAAAAGTTCCTCCCTCACATGTCTACTTGGGTATATAATAGACACTCCAAGGTTAATATGGCCCAAAATGGAATTTTTGATTCACCCCTATTCCAAAAAATCCCCATATTTCTCTTGCAATACATAACAGTAAGGCACCCACCAGGCCTGGAACAGAAGTCACCCCCATGGGTCAACTTTCAGCCAAACAATAGACAGCCCTGTAAGGTGAACAGTACACCAGGGGAGGTACCCACTCCCTATAATCAACCATACTAGATCAAAAGTTTAGCATTTGCCCAGGGATACAGCTCAGAAGGAGGAAGGGGCAGAAAGGAAAGACGAATGGAAATGGTAAACACAGGGAGGAAGTTGGAAGAGTGCTGTTACATTGTAAGGATTACAATCAAGGTCTTGAATCAAAATGCATATGAATTGTTGAATGGAAAACCAATTTGTTCTGTAAACTTTCACCTAAATCACAACAAAGTTTTTTTTTTTTCCAAAAAAAAGTTTTATGTACAAAGGTGTGAATATAAAATTTAAAGGAATAATTAAGCAGGATAAGTTAGTTATTGGAATGGTCAAATCCAATAGATGAGGGCTTATTTTACTTTGGAATGGTTGTTATTTGCTATTGAGTTGGTCCCTAACTTATGGTGACCCCATGCACAATGAAACAATAAAATCCATAGGGTTTTCATATATTGATTTTTCAGAATTAGAACACTAGGCCTTTTTTCATAGCCTGTCTTAGTCTGGAAGCTGAATATTTAGTATTATATTGAAACCTGTCAGCATGATACCCAACATACAAGCTTCCACTAACAGATGGGTGTTGGTGGCACTTGAGGTTCACTGGGAATCAAACTGGGTCTTCCACATGGAAAGTGAGAATCTACCACTGAACTACCAATGCCCTAGAATAGTTGAAAGGCAAAGGGCTTCTAGAGTTTGTATAATCTACATTTACAGAATGAAATTTCAATGTGCTTTTGTAAGGATCTCTGGTGGTATAGTGGATAAGGCATTTGGCTGCT